GTACGGCATCGAGTCTTATTCTTGGTTTATATCCAAATTTGATAAAAATTTAAAATAAGTGATACACTTGTATAGTTTTGTCAGCATTTTCTTCGTAACATCACAAGTGAATTGTACTCAACGTTGACTAATAATAATGATAGTTTATATTTTCTTATAAACAGGTGTTTACAAGAAATGCAAGCTATTTTTACAGTCACGATCATTTATGTTATAAATTACAATCGTGAAGTATTATAAATCAATACTTTTTCATTGGTATAAGGGTATATTCCACAACTGCAATCCAGGTTGCCTCGTGGGGGAAGGTAATGTGGAATTCACGAGGCAACTGAAAGATATAGGACCAATAATGTTTGCAGATCATTTGTCATTGAGTGGTCAAATATCCACATTCTTCATTCTTATCAAATGGTGATAGAGGAAAAGAAGACAAACGATAGCAACACAGAAGAAAGCAAGTGGAGTTCTGAAGGAGTGATTGATAAATTTATATATATATGTATTCCGTGTAGTAACTATGATTATTTTGGTACACTAACTAGTCCCGTTATGTTAACTTTTATATTATGTGTGAACCAATACTATTGTCCTGTGTAGAAATGTTTATCGTGTACTTCCAATAATATTGAAATTTGTTATTGTAGTTTGTTGTAACTTACACGTTTAATGAACTTAAAATATCTATGTAGGGTGAAAAAGAGGGTGTAGGAGTCAGACGCAGAAGTGAATTGTCATCTTTGAGCAGTCTGGGGACTGAGAAGATGAGCACTGCGAGTGTGTTTGCATCACGCACATTAGCTAGTAGTCTATTCCAAATGACTGAAAACTTATTTAAGAAGAAGTTGTACTGCATGTAATTCTGACAATGCTCTATAGCAGGTAGGTTGTCATGATTTCTAAGATTGCGACTGATGACAGCGGTAGGTTTAATTATTGGCTCGAAGGAGTGCAAGAGAAGATAAGTTAGCTTGTTGTTTCAGCCACTGTGTTGTAAGTTTCTCGTTAGCATCTTTCGGTTAACTTTTGGGTGATTTACTGCAGGCTTTAGTTGTCTTCAGATTACTAAGGAGTGTACCTCTTTTACTAATAGGTACTCATACGTCTGGGCTTACACGTATCCTCCAAGTCATGAACTGATAAAATTCTTAGCTCTGGTTGGAGGTTTCCTTACTAATTTTGAATCAAGTATTCCATTCCGTCTCCAACTTCAGTGGCACACCCACTTCTGAGGCCTAAGTATGTCAGTGACGGTGAACACTGAATTGCCCTTCAATGAACTTGTTCATCCGAACCAGTTGCCTGTTCCTTTGGAGCAACAATCCTGGACGCGGCTTTGACGTTAGCCCAGTGACAGGAGACCATAGCTATGCGATCAGAAGTAATAATGAATAATACATTGATGTTATTTGTAGACACTTTGTATTGATAGTAGCCAGCTGTGAACGGCGTGGTCAATCTACTGTGGAAAAATCTGAGATACTGGTTTGCTCTCAGTTGACCAGGAAACCCAGACTTACTGTCTGTCTTTTAATCCCGCTTCATTTGAAATCAGGTTCATTATTATATATTTATATATGACCCCTGGAATGTTGTCTCCAGGCTACAGCAAATTTCCCTAATACCATTATTGATAGCGTATTTCGTGTAATATGACCGCCGAAAATCCCATAATTTTAGCATTACCTTCTTCACACTTAAGAGACACCAGATTCTACGATTAATTCTGTTTCGGAAGTTGTCTTTGTCGTTGGAACGCAATGGTTGATGACCTTCTTGATAACTCTCCCCTCATCTATTACCAGTGATCCCGTCTTTCATGTGAATCGCAGATTTATAGCCAAGTCTCTGTCGCCACAGTTTCTCTCATCGACTCAGATTTCGCCACTGTTAAGTAGTAGATTTATCGTTTGCTAACTTTTGCTAAATAACCAATTCAGGCAATTCTACTATGTGGACACTACTGTCTATCAGAATTTCTAATAGCCTGTGCTCTTAAGGCAGTTGGTCAGTTGTGGGAAGGCAGCCTTCTCGGGATGGTTTGATATCTGGTCACCAACATGTGTCGCTTTTAACGGCTGCACATGATCCAGCTCTCATAGTGTTATGTAATGGCTGTCAATCGGAAAGTCTTCACAAGAGGCCGTCGTACACATTCAGAAGTAAAATTTTGTGGGGCACTGAACTGAGTGATTTGGCAAGGACGAGGAGCTAAAGATGAACTAGGATGTTCCGACCCTGTCCTGCCATCTAATTTTCAGTGAAAATGACAACTGTTACTTTAACCCTAATAAATGTAGTACCTCACCCTTGCCAGTCCAACGCAAGGACCAAACTAAATTTTTCTTACCACTCAACGTGGATGGAACTGAAAATAACTGTATGCTGATAACCGGTAGCAGCACCACTCCCAAAAGCATGGTATCTGGTGTCGATGCTGACTCTTTTGCATAACCTCATATGCGCGTCATTAGGCTGTACAGAGAGAAGGAATAGAAGTTTTTACAGTTCAGTCTTGTATGAGTGATAATGTGAAAATACTGTGTAGACTTCTATGGTAATTCATTCTACAGGAAGTCTCCATGGTGAAAACAGGAGTATAAGTTTCAATAAATCTTGTGGACTTCCTGCGTAGATGTAATGTTCTTCAAGTGTTCATCTAGCGATTACCGAAGTTTGCGATCAAGCTGAAAGCAAAACGCATGGCACCAATAATTATTGTAATTGGTATTGCCATCAACAGCCAACCATTTATGGGATTTACAAAACCGCAATATCCATTTTCCACTTTACTGGGGAAACATTACCTCGGACTTTTGAAAAACTAGTGGGTTAATGTTTCTGTTTCATGAATTTTAAGACACGCTTCCGACTGGCTTGTTAATCGGACTAAACTGTCAGGTGATTCACATTTCCAAGCAGAGTGAAATACAAACCACATTTAAGCAAATGTTTCATTTTAGATATATTACTGAAACCGATCGTGACTAAATTCAGCAACTTTGGTCTCACCGATTAATAGCATATGGATTCTATTTTCATCGTTAGCCAAGACGTGGTCATTATGAGTGAAAAATGTGAAAAGACTAGTTCTGTTTGATTATAGGTGTCTGTGTTCTATCTACCTTTTCAGGTGGTGTTATAAAGTGAGCGATTCGCTCATCAGTCAGTGTTAGGTAATGAAAACAAGCCAGTCGATCAAGTTGTGAGGCTACATCGATTGGGATGGTTAGGACAAACGCCGCATACGCTGAGCCACCGTCTTACTCAACCGGTGATGTCAACCAACACGTGGTGATTTGGATAAGGAGTAATGGTGATTCAAACTGTAACCTGTCATCAGTTCATGAAATCCTTCACAGTTAGTTTGAACAACCACCGAAGATGAGAACGAAATCATTGCGAATGGCGCAGACGCATCCATTCTTCTTGATCTCCCACATCTATTCAACTCAAATATCCTCCAAGTAACTGTTATTTTTCCCTCATATTTTTGACCACCATAATTCTGTACAGTTTCCCTTTCCTCTCCCTTAGTGTTCTACTCGGAATGTGGCAAATTGGACTGCTGCACTTCAGTGATAATTTGTATGTTAAAACTGAGTCAATCCGCACTTCCTCACTTTAGCAATTGACTAAAGTTGCAGCTGGTTCACACACTTATCAATGCCCATCAGTATGCAT